CAGACAGAGAGAGAAACAGGGAGAAGGAGACAGGAAGAGAGCAGTGCAGACAGAGAGAGAAACAGAGGGAGAAGGAGACAGGCAGAGAGCAGTGCAGACAGAGAGAGAAACAGGGAGAAGGAGACAGGCAGAGAGCAGTGCTGACAGAGAGAGAAACAGAGGGAGAAGGAGACAGGCAGAGAGCAGTGCAGACAGGCAGAGGGGGAAGAGAGAAAAGTGACACGATGGGGGAGGGACAGAGAAGGAAGTACAGGACAGAGAAAGAAAGTGTTGGGAGGAAGAGACACAGGAACACCTGGAAGAGTGGGGTCCCTCTCCTCTTCCATCCCCCCTCCTCCAACAGAGCAGACAGCCACCCCAAAAACTGGAAATCAACACCAAGCAAAAACAGAAACCCCAGCTGACAGCAATATTAATAACAGCAAGCAGACCGAACCGCCTGAAAATCAGATAAAAAAATAACAGCCGACACCGCATTCAAATTCCTTCAGGAAGAAAAAAGCAAAATGTAAAAATATATTCGGGGGCAGAGCGAGAGATAGTTAGGGAGCAATTGCAACAGGAGAAGGCAGAGCAAAATGAAACCACATCTAAGTAAAGATAGTTTAAATACAAAAAATACAGCTTTGACTCAATATGTTTAAATGTTACTCTATGAATTGGGAATGAAGCAAACTGGAATCGCTTTCGGTTTTGGACTGAACCACCCTTAATGGTTATTACTGCTCCTCAACCCACTTATCTCCCTACAAAAAAAGAAAAAAATACTGACCAGCCGGTCAAGCAAGAGACCGAGAGACGGCACACCTCCTCAGCCAGTTATTTACAGCAGCGCAGGTACACTCCTTACCACAGGGGGGCGACAGAGAGAACAGCTGGACCTGCCCTCTCCTTCCTGAGCTCTGAGACACAACAGTTTCACTCACCGGGACATCCTATGCTGCATTCTGACAGCCTGTCCTGGGTCTTCCATCGATACAATTAATCAATTAATTGTGTCAGTTTTTACAGGATGTCAACTCTTTGTGTCGATCGTCCAATTAAGACAACAATTAGCAAATCTGTTGTATAGTTCAGGAATGAAAGTCCAGAATTATCCAGTCTGTCTGCAGCTCTTGGTGCTCTCAACTGCCTGCGTCCCCCTCACACTCTCACTATTTTACAAACAAATTGGGGATCCCCCCCGTAGGACACACAAAGAGAAATCTTGAACACCCCCCATCCCCCCCGTCACCCAAACCCCATCCCTGCCTCCATGTCTGAGCCAGAGTCTGTACGGGACCCTGCTGGCAGGCCGTCAGGCAGGCAGGCAGACAGACAGGGACAGACGGCCGTGTCCGTTCACCAGTTCATGATGCAGTTCCTGTTCAGGGTCATGAAGTAAACCTGGCTGCTGCCTCCAGAGCGCACTGAGGCAAAGAACACCTGCAGACAGAGGGACAAGGGGAGGGACAGAGGACAGAGGGGGACAAGGAGAGAGACAGAGGGGGACAAGGAGAGAGACAAGAGAGACGGAGGGGCACAAGGAGATAGACAAGAGAGACAGAGGGGCACAAGGAGGGACAGAAGGGGACGAGGAGAAAGAGAGACAAAAAGGGACAGAAGGGGACAAGGACAAGGAGAAAGAGGAGAGACAGAAGGAGACAAGGAAAAAGAGAGACAGAAGGGGATAAGGAGAGAGAGAGACAAGAAGAGAGACAAGGAGGACAAGGAGAGACAGAGGGGGACAGTGAAGAGGGGGACAAGCAGAGGAAGAATCAGATGGTTAAAGGAATCCATTTAATAACAGTGATAAAGCTGGCACTTCAGCGGAAACAGCTTTAAAGCCTGAGTAAAGCACATTAACATTTCAGCTGAGCTAAAACCAGCACGAAGGGATTCAACAATTGAGTAAAACACAACGTTTCAGCTGCAGTAAAGTCATCATCAAGGGATATAACCCTTGAGCAAAGTACATTAACGTTTCAGCTACAGGAAAGATAAGATAAGATAATTGACCATATACAATTTCTTGCAATAGGAATTTGTCTTTTCGCATACCCTTCCTCTTCCTCTCCATGAGACACACAGGCACACAGACAGGGAGAGAGAAGCTTGGGGTCAGAGCGCAGGGTCAGCCATTTATACAGCCCCCCGGAGCAGTTAGGGTTAAGGGCCTTGCTCAGGGGCCCAACAGAGTAGGATTCCTCTGCCGGCTGCGGGATTTGAACCGGCAACCTTCCAGCCACAGGCGCAGATCCTGAGCCACAGAGCCACCACTCTGCCCTGTACCATGCCATACCAGCATTAAGGTACATAACCGAGTAAAGCAAACCTTTTCAGCGTTTGTAAAGACAGCGTGAAGGTATAAAATGCTTGAGTATTATCACACTTCATATATATACACTGTGAACATGCAGTGTTGGTGTAGAGCTGGGGAACAGAAGGAGTAAAACGGTTGAAAAGCTGGAGTTAGGACGGCGTGAAACATTCAGCGTTTATGTAAATGAACTGCAACACTCCTGACCTTGTCATTCCTCTCACACAGGAACTTGAGTCTTTGGGCTCTCTTGTGCATGAAGACTCCGTCCAGGTGGCCGGTCTCCACCGAGCGGATCTCAATGGCCTTCTCGCCCCAGCCCATGATCTGATTGGAGCAGATATAGGCTGGAAGAGAGAGGGGACAGCGCCACAGGTAAACACCACCTGGTCTCCAGCTCCCACTGCCTGGGTGCAGCTTGCAGGAGGCAGTCACAGACAAAACTGGGCAGTTTAACAAGCGACACTAATTACCATCCAATTAACTAAGAGAAGAATCTTTTCTCAGGGGCAATCCTGATGCCTGCAATCATACACAACCTCCTCCAAAACATGATATATACTGACCTTAAACACTATGGACTGGCATATATACTGTACTTGGCCCACGCCCTCCCTCCCATCACCACATAGTGAATACAGCACCTTACCAACAGAGGTGGGCATTTCCCCCCACTGAAGCACCACATCCTTGATGATGCGGCCATAAGTGTTGACGTAGACACCCTCGTCCTCATAGCACAGCAGCATCTCCATGCCCTCTGAGCTGGGTAGGAACACTATGGCATGAGGAGTCACCTGGCTCTGGATCTGAGAGAGAGAAGGGTTTTAATACAGACACACAGGACCCTACAG